TGGAAAGGCTCCCTTAAATGCCCTTCCCTGATAATGAGATTGATGACTAACTTATCCACCATCATAGAGCCCTCATCCAGTAGCTGATGGAAACAGAAGCAGACACCTATACATAAACACTGAGCTGAATTGGAATCCAGATGCAGAGAGTGAGGACAAGACCAAGCTACAGAAACCCACAGAGACAGCTCACCTGAACAAGGGGGAGCTAATGGGCCCCCCAGACACATTCCCCATGGAGAGACACTCCCTTAACCTAGAGACAGGAGGGAGGGCCTAGTTCCTACTCCAAATGACTTGACAGATTTAGATGACCCCTCCAGGAAGGCATCACCCTACTCGTGGAGTGTGGGAGGGAATGGAAGTGGAGGGTGGTTGGGGGAATGGGAGGGTGGTAGAGAAGGAGGGAGGGAGAGGGAACTGGGATCGATATGTAAAATAAGAAATATATATATATATATATATATATATATATATATATATATATATATATATAGTGAGACCTTCTTGGGTCCAAAACTTCACCAAGGGAGGAATCAGACAGTGAAGAAGAAAAGAGTGAGACAAATGTGACAGGAAATAGTCCCCAGATCTGACCTTTAATGTAGAGGCAAGGAAAATCCATGACTCAACATGAAGATAGGAACCTTAATGGCTAGTGCTGGAAGCTATGATAAGCAGGAAGTACTCAGCATCTGAACTGCTTGAACTGGGGAAGAGTTTTTGGCTTTTGTTTATTAATGATTATTTTTACATTTATTTATTTTACTGTGTGTACCACACATGAGGAAATCAGAGGACAACTTGTGCCAGTTAGCTTCGTCCCCTGTTTGGATCTTGGGGATGGAATTCGGGTCATCAGACTTGGCCATAGTACCTTTACCTATTGAGTCATCTTGCTGGCCCTGGGTGTGTGTAACTTTGTAACAATGACTAAAAGAGTCTCCCAGGAGGCTGTGAAACAAGGATGTCAAAAGCACTGTAAAACAGAAACAAAGTTGTTCTCTTTATAGGCAGGCTCTGGCTAAGAGTTTAATTGGTTATCTTATTATTGTACTGCTCTCTTCCCTTCCCTTCCATATTTGTATGGCAGACATCACTAAAATGTTTCTGCCTAAAAGCCATCAGCCATTGCTTATGTATGTATGTATGTTTGTATGTATATATGTATGTATGTACGTTTTTTTGTTTTTTGTTTTTGTTGAGACAGGGTTTCTCTGTGGCTTTGGAGCCTGTCCTGGAACTAGCTCTTGTAGACCAGGCTGGCTTTGAACTCACAGAGATCCACCACCCCTGCCTCCCGAGTGCTGGGATCAAAGGTGTGCGCCACCAACACCTGGCCTGATTTCAATATTTTTTTTTTTAAATTTGAGAATAAACCGATGTATACTACAGTTATAACTGTTAATTTTCAAGTGTACAAATCTGTTTGCCTGTACTTCAGCTGTAATTACTTTTAAGTTTATATTTAAATTTCAGACTGTACTGTAAAAGTTATTTAAAATAGCAGTTAAAAATTATACCTGATCTACAGAGCAAGTCCAAAAAAAAGTACTACACAGAGAAATCCTATCTTCCTATCTCAATAAAACAACAACAACAAAACCAAGATCTATATTTTCCAATCTGACTATAGCCCACATTGGCTTCAAATTTATGGGTGTATCAATATATTCTTTATTTTGACTGTGCATCCCCTATTACACGCACACTATTTATGTAATTAAAAAACCTAGCACATCTATCTATCATCTACCTATCTATCTATATCTATATACTTCTTTTCAGTTTTATTTAGGTAAAAATGACAAAGAGTATTTTTTTTTTTTTTCTGACAGGATTTATCTGTGCAGTCCTGGAACTTGATCTGTAGGCCAGGATGGCCTCCAATTCACAGAGATCCTCCTGTCCCTGTCCCCTGAGTGCAGGGATTAAAGGCATGCAGCACCACCCCCTGGCTGACAAAAAGTTCTTTTTTTTTTTCCTTTAAAGCATTTATTCATTTATTTTGTGTGTGTATGTGTGAGTGTATACTGAATATAAGCAAGGAAAAGGGAACATGATTGCTCCTAGGTGTGATAGAGGAGGTTTATTGCAGATAAAAAGGAGAGCCAGTCAGGGATAGGGGTATCTGAGAGATTCCAGAGTGGACTTGTCTAGACTAAGCTGGGTCACATAGGAAGGGAACCAGATGCAGCAGACAAGAGGCATAAAGGTAGAAAGAGACAAAGAGAGTGAGTAACCAAAATGGTTGAATTATATGGGGAAGAGTCTAGCCCTCTGGACTGGAGAATCCAGGGTTGGGGGTGGGGTATGCCAGCCAGGGGGGCCCTGTAACAATTAACGGCTGAGGGATGCAGGGAGAACATGGTAGCTAGGTCTGTTTTGCTATGTTAAATATTCATCTCAGTTATTTGTCCTAGGATGGAAACCCAACATATCCATGTGTGAAGGTTAGAGTACATCTTGAAGGGGTTGGCTGCTGAGCCATCTCTCTGGCCCACAAATTAATTTTTTTGTTTGTTTTTTTGAGACAGGGTTTCTCTATGTAACCTCGGCTGTCCTGGAACTCACTCTGTAGACCAAGCTAGCCTTCAAATCATAGAAATCTGACTGCCTCTGCCTCCAGAGTTTTGGGTTTTAAGGCATGTGCCGCCACAGCTTGATGTTTTAATGTGTACAGACATTATACAGCAACCATAGCAGCCAAGCTAAAGAATATACCCATCATTTCCAAGAACAAATGCAGTTTTCTGTTGGTGAGAAAACTTGAGAATGAGATCTTTAGCATATTTCAAAACTACAATACAGTATTGTTAACTATACTTATAGTGCTGTATGTTAGTTATCTAGAATTTATTTGCATTGTATAAGTAATACTGTACCCTTTCAGTAAAATCTCCATATTCCCCTTCCTCCAGCTGGCAGTAACTACCCAGTCTCTTCTCTGCCCAAATCCTCCTCCTTCTATTTTATTTTATTTTATTTTTTATTTATTATTTTTTTTTTTAGACAAGATTTCTCTTTGTAGCCTGTAGCCCTGGTACACCATTTTTAGACCAGGTTGGCTTCAAACCCAGATATCTGCCTGTCTCCCAAGTGTCAGGATTAAAGGCATGTGCCACCATTTCATGGTCCCAACCTCCTTCTTATGTTACTGAAGTCATTCCTGTTGGTTCAAATTGATGATCCAAAATGGCAGTGATGGTGACAGGGTCCTAACAGAAGGATTTGGACCAAGTCGGTAAACAAAAGCCTAAATTCAGCTTTTTGTTTACCAGAAAGCTTATCTTAATCTGCCTGCAAATGTCAACTAACTTTAGGCAAGGTAATCTAGTTCCCTGTCAATCCGAACAGCCTGTGTCAGCTCAAAGGCTCCTACCTGGCAACTGTCATAAAATTTGCCTGCCTTAGCTGTTTGATTCTAGCTATGGAGTGGTCCAGTTGGTGGTATCACTATGGCCATCCTTACAGCCACAAGTTGTAGACAAAAAGTATCATTTTTATAGCTATTTTCTGAAACCAGAGAAGCTGAAAAGTAGCAGTCTAACTCAATGTATTAGGCTTAAATTGGGCATAAGGTTGTTAGTACTTGCATTCTGAAATTTGATTTTGGAGATGGTTTCTTTTTGAAGCCCTGGCTGTCCTGAAATGCTCTCTGTAGACCAGGCTGGCTTTGGATCACAGAGATCTGCCTGCCTCTGCCTCCTGAGTGCTGGTATTAAAGGTGTGAGCCACCACCGCCTGGTTCATTCTGAGTTTTTGTTTGTTTTTGTTTTGTTTTTTGTTTTTTTTAAAGAGCACTTGCCCACTAAAATTCCCATCTACAGTATATTAAACTGTGCAAGAGGCATGGTGGTACATATTATAGAAGGCGACAAGAGGAGGATGAGAAATTTGGGGGTAGCCTGGGGATAAACAATGTATCTGTGGAGAAAAAGGGGGAGGGTAATGTTGTAATACATTGTTTCAATTAATTGAGACAAGAGGTAAAATTGTACTTCAAAAGTTTTACTTTAAAACAAACAAACAAACAAAAAATAAAGCAACTTTCCTAAGCAGCTATTTCTTGGTAAAATAAAAAGTCTAAAACTATAGATAGCAAACTTTAATTTTAAAGGTAAATTTGAACTTAAGAAAAAAAAAACATTTTATGCCCTTGGGAGGTATTTGGTTTTGCAACTAACTTTCATTCTTTTATGACTTAATGAACTACAGACCGAGAGAAGTAAAAAAAAAAAAATCATAAACAGAAGTTCTGATTTTGTACTTTGGCAACATGAATCTTAACTTTGGGTTCAGCATGAAGGTTCAATAAACGTATGGATAGTTCCAACAATTGTTTTAATTTTACACCTACCATTTGACCTTTGGCTTTCACAGCTTCAGTGTCCTTAGTAAATAAAACTAAAGGGTGACTCCCCCTGAATTTGTGAAGCGACTCACAAAGGGCTATTATTACCATCACTGAGTGGCTTGGGCAGTTTTGTCATTAGGATCTGTGGCCGTCGTGGCTGTCAAAGCCATGATGAAGTATCTCCGGGCTAGTTCGTTTCCTAATTTCAGTTTACCTTAAAAAAAAAAATCACCATTTTGTTTTCTTCGGAAAGGAAGTTCAACATTAGCTTGCCTTTGACCTCCCTATGGACTGCTTACCAATAACTTAAATTGTAAGATGACATTCGGTCCTTCTTTCACATCACAAACCTGTCCGACAGGAGGCGGTGACTGAGCTACTTACTACCCTCAGGTGAACACCCACCCGGGCACCGCCCAGCCCGGAGTTAAGTTTTCTTCTGGTTCTCCACGGAGGAGCTTTTCTTAACCCTGAATGCCCGAGCGCGGGGCTCGGGAAAACTCGGCAGACTTCGGAAGAACTCGGCGGGCAGGTGAGCGCCTCGCTCTTGGGCGGAGGATGTGAACCAGCTGGCCCGGCGGCGGCGCGGGCAGCCCGGCGGGGCGGGGCGGGCCGGGACGGGGCGTGGCGTGGCCGGGGAGGGGCGGGCTCCCGGCATCGTGGTCGCGCTCGCCCGCTGCTCATCGGCGGCTGCCGGGACCCTTGGCCATGTCCTGGCGCAGCGCGGTTTCGGCGGGGAGGCGGCTGCTGGCGAGCGGGAGCAGCTTGGCTTGGCGTCGCAGCGTGGCTGGAGCTGCGGGCTCGGGGTACGCAGCGGGGCGGGATCCTGCGGTAGTGCTAGTGTGGCCCTTACCCCGGGAGCCCGGGCCGGGTTTGCGGGATCAAGGCCAGTGGTTTTTTTTTTTTTTTTTTTTTTAGCGCGGTGTAGACGCTGAAAACAAACAAACAATAATACTGCCGTGGTAACTTATTTAACCAGTCGCTCTTATTTTAATGCCAAGCCTTGGCTGTCCTGTCGCAGGAAATGAACGTGATTGTTGCTTCTAAAGGGCCATGGCTTTGTAGGAGCTGCTAACTCCTGCATCCTGTAGATGTGGTTTCTGGCTTGATGGGAGCGTTGCTTTCGTTGGCTTTCCCCTGGTCGGCCCACACCAGCTGTGGCCGACCAGCTTTGGCCTAGGCGGCTGTCAAGACACCCACCAGCCCATCTCCACTGTCTTCCAGAGACTTCCCTTCTGGAAGCACCAATCACGTGACCATAACTCGTTGCCCGTCCTTAGGACCGTTTCCCATTGGACGCGGCGGGGTATATATCCTGCTTTGCCCATTTACCACCTCTTAGTAGGTGCTCCATAAATGGAGTATGACAAGTTAGTGGCGCTTTACCAGGGTTGGTGTGAAGTGTGGCTCGTTTACTCTGAGCCTGCCTCTTATCTTAATAGGAACGCTCAACTAGAAATTGATGGGGCTGCCTCAAGAAACATAGGGGTGTCTTTTTGGAACGTTTTCTTTGGCAGGGAGGGTCATTGTTTCAGAATGTGCCTTCTTGGCCCTTTCATTTTCTTAGGAAAGTTCATCCGCTGTACATGCTGCATAGTTTTGAGGAGGAGATAAATGATATATTAGAGGGGGAGGGACGACCTTGTTTTCAGAGTTGAAAACCCAAATAGACTGGATTGATGCCATCCAGCGCTCCTCCAGGCCAAGGCCATCTATTTTCCCTACTGCATTGGACTTTATAAACTCAGCCACTAATTTTTTTTTTCTCCTTCTTCTTAACGCTGCCTCCTCCAAAGCAGGGTGCAGTCTTCCGAGCCTCCCTCTTGCTTCTACCTTCTCTCTATCTGGTATATGCAGCAAGTGCTTTTGTTTCAGTGGTTTCCTTGTCCATGTGTTGGGGAACAAGGAACAATAATGAGAAACTCGTATTTGGTTGCAGTGATTCCTGTCTGCAAATCATGTTTGTTGCAATGGGATGTGATGCTTGTTGCAGCTTATCTGAAGTTTTCCGGAATGACTGTGTGGAGCAGAAATTCATCATCGGGGCAATATGGACTTGAAAGGGCCATTTAATGGGAATTCACTCAAAAACAGGACTGAAACTTCATACTCTGATTTAAGACATACTTTGACTGGGGTCTTCAAATTGTAAACTTAAAATAGCTTACTTTTAGTCTTAAACACAATTAAAGCTCCTATAAATATACCCATAAGGAATGAATTGCTTTTGTGGAAGGACACTTTATTTTTCTTTAAATATTTTAAAACTGGGTGTGGTGATGCACACCTTTAATCTCAGTACTGGGTGACAGAGGCAGGAGGACCTTTGAGTTCCAAGTCAGCCTGGTCTACATAGAGAGACACTATCTCAAAAACAAAAACAAAAATCCCGCAACAAAAATATATTTTTAAAAACCATCTGTAGCCATGTGTGCTGGCACACACCTTTAATTACACATACAGCACTTGGGGGGGTAGAGGTTGGTGGATCTTTGGGTTCGAGGCCAGCATAGTCTACAAAGCGAGTTCCAGGATAGCCAGGACAGCCAGCTGCATAGAGAAATCTTGTCTTGAAGAACAAACAAACAAAAATGATAAAAAACCATTTGAACTTTAAATTCTTCATCTTACCTCTAATCCTTACATATTTGAGCAGTTCTCCTTTGTAGCACTTGTCTTCCTAATATTTTTGAGAGATTAGCAGTTCACATCATGTCTAATTTGCTTCAAGAATCTTGTCAGGGGCTGGAGAGATGGCTCAGTGGTTAAGAGCACTGTCTGCTCTTCCAAAGGTCCTGAGTTCAATTCCCAGCAACCACATGGTAGCTCACAGCCATCTGTAATGAGATCTAGTGCCCTCTTCTGGCCTGCAGGGAAAGCATGTAGACAGAACACTGTATGCATAATAAATAAATATTAAAAAAAAAAAAAAATCTTGTCAGGCCTTGCTAGCTAATCAAGAAAAATGAGTGAAATGAGGGAAAAAGATTCTAGGATCAATGGGAAGACTTGATTATCTACCTATTTACCTACATCTATCATCTATCTATCTGTCTATCTATCTATCTATCTGAGACAGGGTCTCATTACATAGTCCTTGTTGCTCTGGAACTCACTGTGTAAGCCAAGCGGGCCTCAACTCACAGAGCTCCACCAAATTGCTGGGATCAAAGGTATATGCCACCACACCTCATTCAAATACTTCCTTCTAAGCTCTAGGTTTTGGATAACAAATGCTGAGTTAATGGGGGTCCCCATAATCAGTAGTTAATGATCATATCAAGTATTATTGACATTCACTGTGTGCTAGGTACGGTTTTGCTTCCTTTGTATGTCAGTTCATTTAGTCTTCAAAACCACCTTTAAGTGGGTGTGATTATTTTTCCTACCTGGTGAATTGAGAAATTGGGAACTATCAGATTAGTGTGGTTGGAAACCTTTATTCCCACTAGTCTTTGTAGCTTTATAGTGTCGGTGAAATTTTTGTATATTTAAAAAAGTTACTTTATTAATGTAATGTGTTTGTGTATGTGCCACATGTGTGCATGCATTAAGAGACCAGAAGAGGGCATCAGATCTAAAGCTAGATTACAAGTAGTTATGAGCTGGGTTGATGTGAGTTCTGGGAATTGAACCTGGGTCTTCTGTACGAGCAGCAAGTGCTCTTAACATCTGGCTGTCTCTCCAAGTCTCCCCCCCCCACCCCTCCACACTGTATGTTTTTCAGAAGAAACATTTTATTTCTTGTCTTTATTAGGGCAGAGTATCTGGCATTTGGTGATTATGAATTTACTCATGAATAAGACTGTAAGGAACTTTAGACATTGGCTTTATCAGGCAAAATTTATTGAAAGTCTGCTTAGATAAGCACATGGGTCCTTTGGTGTTAGCAGACAAGCACTTTATGTCCTCACAAAGCTTTTCCTGCTTTGTGTATTTGGACATATTTGTATTTAAGGCTGTCTTCCACTGTAACCCACACCATACAGGGTCACCTCATTAACTGGCTGGTCTTTTCCTTTGTTGTAGGATGGGGAACAGCACATCCTCATCTGTGGGGAAGTCAGCAGCTACTCCTGTGAACCAGATCCAAGTGAGTGATGGGGCTGTGGGGGGAAGAACTGTCTTATACATTTAATGTACTTACTTTAGTCCAGACTTGACATAGCTTAGAAAATAGGTTACTAAATTAATACTTACTTTAAAAATTGCTATCAAAATTATCCTTGAGACAAGTCCTATGTCATTTTTTGTTGTTCTTTAAATTTTGGTTTATTATATGTTGTTTCTTTTTTTTGTGTGAGAATTTGGTTTATGTGTGAGCACTATACACATGCCTGTATGCATGTGGAGGCCAGAAGAGGGATGTCCAGTGTCCCGTTCTATCGTTAATCCTCTTGTGCCTTTGATATAGTCTCTCTCACAGAACTTGGAGTTAGGCTGGTGGTCATTGGCCCTAGCAATTCTGTCTCTGCCTCACCTCCCAGTGCTGGGGTTATACATCTATGTGTGTGGCCATAGATGGCTTTTTACCTCGATTCTGGGATCTGAACTCCAGGTCCTCATGAGTGTGCAGGAAGCACTCTTAACCTACAGAGCTGTCTCTCTAGACCTTTCCCCTGACTTTTTGTTTTAACAGTCCTGAAGATTGTATCTAGGTTGTCCTGAACTGCTAGACAAATTTCTACCACCAAGCACCTCTCTATTCATCTTTTCCATTTTTCTTTTGAGGAAGGGTCTCCCTGAGTTGCCTAGGCTAACTGTAAACTGCTCCAATTAAGGCTGCTCTTGAACTTGCAAGTGTTGCCTCAACTTCTGTGTAGCTAGCTCCGATGACAGGTCTGTTCTATCTGGCCTCGATGAAATTTATTCTTTTTTTTTTTAAGTTTTTATTTTATTTTACACAAAAATACATTTAATAACTTGTTATATAAAGCCAAACATAAACTTTTATCAACAAGTCAAACTCATTCCTAACAGGGAGTGCTTGTATTTAGAAAAATGAAAATCTATACAACTGAAGAATTTGGAAACTCACAGAATTCTAGATTCACAGCTGAAAAAAAGTCCCATAAATTTATCTTAACCAAGTGTTCAGAGCTAATGATGAAGAGCTATTAAGCAAAAAGCAAGAGAAATGGTAGGGAATGACAAATGCTTCTCTAAGATGAAAAAGGTAATATAAAATTTACTCAAGTGACTAAGATTTCTTACTGCATCCCTGATGGTCATTTTTGGCAGCTTAGCTCAGCCTGGTGGAAGGCAGTGAGCTATGTGGTCAGGAAGCCTGTGTTGTGTCTCATCAGAATCTTGCTAACTGGTGTTATGTGCCCTGCCTCACAGCAGTATTAGCAACAGTTGCTCATGCCTTCCGCACACAGGTTAAGACCTGTTTAAATGTACTCCTGAAAGGCGCTATCGTCCTGCTTCAAAGTTGTTCCTTGCATTAGGGAGGAGGGGGAGTAGATGACTACATACATCATATTCAAGTTCATCACAATAAAGTTTCCAGGTCCTGTTTTGTGTTCTGAAGGACACCCATAATAGTGGTCAAACCATCTTATTCCAGAAGGGACTTCACACCACAGTAAGCAGCTTTTCAAAACTGTGCTATCACGTTCTTCCTTTTTCTGAAATTTATTTATTCCCAATGAAATCCATCTTTGAGGTTGAAGTTTTTATTTTTAAAAATTTTGATTATGCTTGCTGTACTTCTACTATTGATACCTAAGAGTCAGTGGTTCAGAGCCAGGGTTGTTATGTGGTTTTGGCATGGGCAGCTGTATAACAGCTTTCGGCCCTAACACAGAACCTACTGTGTAATAATTACTCCAGTAATTATTCTCTTAGGGATACTAAACATGGTTGTATTCTCTCCTTTCTTTCTTTTGCTGCCGATCTTAATTAATTCTGCCTCAGAAAATTTGTATTAAGCTGGCTGTGGCGTCATTTGTCTGTCATGCTAGCACTTGGGACATAAAATTCAAGGCTGCTTTGGACAATACATCTGAGATCCCTCTTTCTAAACAAAAATGAAAACAAAAACAAACCCCCCAGAATTCCCCTTATACATATATCTGTTCTTCTCTTCCAGCCCAAGAGGCGTACCTTTGTCTTCCTCACTATCTTCTGTATATATTTTGTTACTGCTTTGGACTGAGTGGGTAGGTCAGTGGTAGAGCATGAGCCTAGGAAATGTGACATCCTGGGCATTGCTCCCCAGCAACACACAGGGAATCTGAGTTTGTTTAGCTAACCTCACTATATTTTGAATATAGAAGCAATGTAAGAAACTTCTTGTGTAGGGCTTTCTATATTTTAAAATACAAAGAGCGCACCACGAAACATTTAGTCAGTGGTATTTGTTCTTGATACTACCCTCAGGCACTGCTTCGGTACATTTTTGTTTCTAATGGCCAGCTTTTGAAATGAACAATATCCTTAATCTATACATAACACAGATGTATATGATAGGAACTTGGAGAGAATAGTTGTAGTTGTGGTCTACACTCCGAAATCACACTCCTTCCCCTAATTTTGGTTTCATCCCAAAAGGTAATACTAAGATGAGAATGTCTTATTCATTTTTCATTTCAGGAAACAATTTCTAACAATTGTGTGGTGATTTTCTCAAAAACATCCTGTTCTTACTGTTCAATGGCCAAAAAGATCTTCCATGACATGAATGTCAACTATAAAGTTGTAGAATTGGATATGCTGGAATATGGTAACCAGTTTCAAGATGCTCTTCACAAGATGACTGGAGAAAGAACTGTGAGTCTACCTTCAGCCCTGATGCCCCTGGTGATGAGTTGGTGACATGCCAGTCCCTGGACACTGGCCTTTTCTGGTAGAAAAAGGAAACTTGCCATTTTTTTCGGATCTCATATTGATAAAGAAATGGCAGATCTATAAAGAAACCAGGTTCATAGAATAGAAAACGGCATAGTTCATTTTAATTTTTATGTTTACTTTGTGTGTGAGACAGAGAGGGAGCGAGCGAGGGAGAGAGAGAGGAGAGAGAAAGAGGGGGAGAGAGAGGGATATGGAACAGCGAATGGTGTCATGAGTGCTTCTCTGTGGGATTTTAAGGTCCTTTTGGAGGTCTTTGCAAGGTAAAATTATCCTTCCCAACTAGGATCAGGCCCCTATGCTATCTGTGCTTAGTGCTTATTGTTCAAGCCTCTGAAAGTTTGTGTATTATTTTTCATAATATGAATCCTCAGAAAAATATTCATTGTTGCCACTTTCCTTCTTGTTTAAAGGTTTGTAGAAGACACTGGTAAACAAGTAGAAATAAACTGCATAAACATTAGTAATACTTACCTAGTTTTTCCCTCCCCTCCTTCCCTTCTTCTCCTCCCTCCCTCCCTCTTCTGTTCAAGCGCAGTTTTATTAGAGTTTAAAAGAAAAACTCCTGGGTTAGGCATGCTGGAAATCCCAGTAGTTGCCTGAAGGAGAATGGAGGAGGAAAGGAAATAAAGCCAGCACAGAGGTCAGACACATGGGAGACAGACAGCCATATGGTGGGGGAAAGAAGGCTGTAGAGAAAGTAGGGAAACCCAAAGTATCAGAAAAAAAGTGTACTTAGGATCTGGCCTGAGGAAAGAGGCAGATAAAAGGAAAGGTGGAGCCTTTCTGGTGCAGTCCTCTGAAGGGCAGGCAGACCCTGCTGAACCTCATGGTGGCTCATAGCGCCTGCCTTATTTTGGTGTGTAGGAGGAAGGACTTTAGAATCAGATTGTCTTGGATTTGAACCCCACCTCTTTTACCATTGGAATTTTGGCCATGTGACTTTTCCTTATTTCTCTCCAAAATTAGACTAGTTCTGACCCTTATGATTAGGTCTCATTTAACTTTGGCTCACTCAACAGGTTCCAAGAATATTTGTCAATGGAGCATTCATCGGAGGCGCAACCGACACTCACAGACTTCACAAAGAAGGGAAATTGCTGCCACTGGTTCATCAATGTAATTTAAACAAAAGCAAGAGGAAAGAAGTTGAATGATGTGGTTGGTCACCGTGACCACTACATGTTAGTTAATGCAACCCCACCCTTTAATCATTTGAGGATGTTTTCCCTTCCTAAAGACAATTTAAAATAATGAACAATAAGTCGCTGTGGACCCATCTTCCTCCTTGCCAGTTTTTGAGCATGAGGTAATCTGTAAAACCGAAGGGGTGAAGTTACATCAAAAATAAAAAAAATGTTTATTGGGGATTTAGTCATGGACTTTACAGTGAAGAGGAAGTAAGCCCTTGAAATTCTTAATCCCTTTAGTATTGGGAGATTAACATACAATCACTAGACTGAGGACTGAGGGTTTAATGTGGTGTAGATAGATGTGGGTAGGCTAGGGTATCATGTTGTAGATCCGCACAGACATTAAATATGCAGGATGGGATGAAGTTTATAGTTGGGAAACCAAAAGTGCTAATGACTTCATCGTTATAGGGATAAGAAAACAGGTCTGTCGGCAGAAGGCAAAAGTTTTCAGTATCTCGAGGATGACCTTCTAGAACAGTTCAGAAATGTATTTTGTCAGTTGGATTTGTTTCTCCTTTCAGAGTGTGTAATTTTTGGAGACAGGGTCAGTCTGTAGCCCAGGCTGGCCTTAAACGCACTTCAGTCCTCCTCCCTGTCCCCAAGCTTGGATTAAATTCTGAGCCACTGTGCTCAGCCTGGAAGTGTTTAAGGGAACCAGGTATTCTAAGGATGGAGTTTAGACTGAAGCTCTAAAGATCCTTGCTGTGGTTCAAACATCCCTCATCACAGACTTTGTTGTTGTTAGAAATACATGCTATGGCATGATGTAGTAAGAGGAGGCTTTAAAAAGTGGTTAATCGTGAGGGCAGATGGGTTGGTGCGACATTAAAGGTGTAGGTGTTGTCATAGAAGGTGTGATTCTTAGTAAGTTTGGCCCTCTTACCTCTCACATGCCCGTGCTTTTACCCTTCTCCCCTCTGCAGTGTATGATGTAGCAACCTCACTAGATGCTGGCGCCTCAACCTCAAGCTTCCCAGCCTATGAATTATGACGAGTAAATCTCTTCTTCATAAATTACTTAGTCTCTGGTATTCTGTTTCAGCAGTACAGATAGAGGAGAGGTCCCTAAAGTCACTTTGATGTTATCTTACTATTTTTTGACTAGGAATATGCTGTTCCAACTGAATTCATTTCAGATAAACTTATAAAACAAGAATTACATTGTTAAGGAGGATTATTGAAAATATTTTCAATACTTTACTAACCTGGTCATATTTGCAGCCTCTGGTCAAGAATATTTTAAGTGCCTGTGAAAAATAATGCATTTCCTAGTAGAGTCCCACAGTCATGTTAACAGATTGTCAGATGTTGAGCCTTTCTTAGAGACAGGATGACATGGATTTCCAGAGTGTTTCAGCTTTCTGGTCAAAAGGGACTAAGGAATCAAGGAGTTTTGAGGAAGACAGTGGCTTGCTGTCAGTGGACGTCAAACATTTTGGATACCTTGACAAGTGAGAAGTTAGACTTTTCTCTCCTGATAGTTCATTTAAGTTTTAATGTTGGTAGGAAAAGAAAATGGCATATCTTTATCCCTTTATTTTGTATTATATCATAAGTTTTATATTTTGCTGTGTTGTAAAACACACACACACACACACACACACACACACACACACATTACAACTTGTGAATACCATAATCACGGTGTGTGGGCTTCTTGCCTAGCCAAGATACAACTTGTATGTTGGGAAGAGGGCTGCATGTGGTATGCATGTATGTGGAGGGCTGCATGTATGTGGATGTCAAAAGAACTCTGGAGTCAGTTCTCACCTTCCACCTTTACATGTGCTCCAGGGCTAGAACTTCAGTTACTAGAATTGTGCAACAAGTGCCTTTTAACCATTGAGCTATTGCTCAGCCTAAAGGATACAATATTTATTTTTTCTTTTGGGGGGGGCATTGTGCTTATTGGAAAATAGCACCCTGTACGTACACGATCCCTGGTTCAATCTCCAATAATAACACATACAAATTATTTTTTATACATGGCTAAGCTGGTTTTTAAAGTTGTGGCTACTGAAGGGGGATATATAAAAACCCTGGAGCAGGGTAGATCAGAGATGTAAGCAAGTACTGAAGTCAGCAGCTGCCCTAAAGATGACAACCTAGGCCAACACAGAACTCTATGCTGCCTGCTTTGGGGAAAGAGGCCAGGACAGGACCACATGTTTACAGGGGTAGAAAGTTAATTCCTTAACTGGTACTTTATTAAAGCAAAGGAAAGGAAGAAATGTTCGATTGGACGTTGGGTCTTTAGAATGTACTGATAAATGGAGACTCTAAGTCACCTGGAATGGAGTTCAGTATTGAGGAGCTAATATGCAAAGGCTACTCTTCGTCATGGCATGGGGGTTTCTTCTGCAACCCTCAGGGTTTTCTAAGTTCCTCACTTGCCTAGCTAAGACATCAGGGAAACAAGAGTCGCTACAGATGTTGGTTTTTATTTTGAGGGTCTTGCTCTGCTGCCCAGTCGGAACTTAAACTTGTGGAATTAAAGGTGTGTACCACCATGCAGGGTTTTGACGTCTATAACACTGACTCTCACACTCTCTTCCCCATGCCATATGGCCATAAGAAAGGTAATATGAACTTAAAGCAGAAGGTAAAGGCATCTGTGCCTAGGTCCCGAGTCTGATGCTGGGAACTCACATAAAGCTGGAAGGGCAGGACTAACTTCATGTGCTGTGACATGACTCCCTCATCCCTCAGACGCACGCAAACGTTCACTAAAGATTAAAAACATTTGCACTTTGATTAAAATCAATTTTCTTGATTCAGTGGTGGAACTTTGTTGGAAAAAAACCCATAAACGACATAGATCTTATGCACATGCAACTAGACACAAAAAGACAATATTAATTACAGAAAGTTAATTCTTTATCTTTTGAGTTGTAACAGATTGCGTAAGGGTTTTACATAGAAGGCATATTATAACCTTAAAATTCATCTTTCTTAAAAGGATAAAAAAAAGACAGTTATTTGATATACATTAAATTTATTTGGTACATCTATCAAATTCTACAATAAACTGGTGATAAACAGTTCATGTAGTGTCCACTCACTCCACATCTGAAATGACTTATTTAAGCATAATTAATCTGAAAATCCAAAGTTTTAGAAAGCTTCAGAATTGGAAAGCTGAGAGCGCTAACATGGAAAGTTCTGTATCAGACCAATTGACAAGTTACAGTCAAATGCAAATGCATTAAGAAAAATTTGCTTTCATATGACACATATGTGGTTCACACAGAATATCCCAGGTATTGCATTATACATATGCAAATAATTCCAATATTTGAAAAAAGAATCTTGAAATACTTGTGGCCCCAAGCATCTCAGGTAAGAGATAATCAACTTGTATGCAATAGGTTGTTTTGCTCAGTTTGAAGAAAAGTCCGATACCTCAGCATTGGTGAAAACTTTTGTCATAAAATAAATGTAATAAAATGAAGTGTTTGTCCATTTCTCATTAGAAAATAGCAACGTTACATTGCTACACATTATTTACACTGCAAACTTGGAAGACTTGACAGTATCAGTTAATCACAAGTCCTAAGAAAGGCCTGTTTGCCCTCTCCAGGCTCTTTTCCCTGGAAATAAGCTAGTTATAAATCAAGCTTAATATATCTTTAAGCACCAGCACGGTAATTTAAAGCACTCTTTCAGTTTCATTAAGATATTCCTGCTTTGAAAGGCAAAGTGAACACAAAATGTGAACTCAATGAAACAAGTCACTGGCTGGTCTGATATTTTTATTGCAAGAGTCTCAATGTTTTAATACTATATTCATTCCTCTAAATGAGTTTGCTCCATAGGTTTGAACCAAAATATTTGCTTTTTGCCTCAAAAATTTCCCTTAAAAAGCAGTTTGTTTTGGAATTATACAACTGTACTTTTCATTTAGTGTTAAATATGCAACATGGTCCTTGGAGGTCATGTTATGGTCAGGAAGTCCAGCTTCTGGATAACTGGTTATACAAACAATAAAAACTTAAGTAACCACAAATATACTGATGTTGCAGATAAGTATTTATCACTTACCAGCATAGCCAGATTATTCTTTTCATGTTTAAATTACAATGTACAATCAGGTTTAATACCTAACAGTTAAATTGAAAACTCTAGAAGACCCTGTAAGTTCTACTCTTTAGAAGCATTAGGACACTATTAAGGCATTACTTAATTAACAGACCCTAAAGAAACTAGCATGTCTGGAAAGGAGAGCTAGTCACATTTTAAGGCAGTCAAAAGAGTCATTTTGTCCACTTTAAGGCTCTCACGTAACTATAATTTATTTCATGCAGACATTATTCTGGATACCTGAAAGGTCCATCAATTGGCCAATTATGGAAATGGATGTAATTTTAATAAAACAAATGGATAGTTTAGATGCAGATGCTGCAGTTCTCATTCCTTTGAAGAATTCTTCATTAAGTTTGCAATATGAAATTATAACTCAAGTAAATTACAAAAGATATTTGGCCAACAGTGCCAAATATATAGTCTATATTGATAACAGCACAACAATTACTGTTTTCTTCATAATCATTCATTATCTAGTTTAAAATCTAATTCAGTCATAATAGGGTTCAAGTTTACACTACAAATAAAGCCTAAGCAGTCAGACACAAGTTTCAATCCTGTGTTTTCATCAATATAATTTAACACTTAAATGTAGTAAACAGGATGCTAACCCACTCATTTCTGTTATTACTTTTGTTTTTGAGCCAGGGTTAACTTACTACTTTTAATAATCCACGCATATAGTAAAACGAAACAAGCAGAAATGAAGATAATTTAGTTTCTTCTTTTTTTTCAAATCCAGATTCTGCTAACTTATAAAAGGTACAGAAGTTCAAACATTTTAAAATTAAAATTCACTTGTGTTCACAAAGGCAGGGATAAATAAAATAGAAAGGCAAAAATATCTCTAGGGTCAGAAATAGCTTTTGACATCTTCATTATATTTACAGATGCTCACTGGAAATAATCACAATTCAGGAACAGAATCTTGCACATCTTCCTTTCCATTTTTCTAATATAGCTTATTTTTAGGATTTAGGAAAAGTGTGTCAACTATTAGATTGCTTATATAGTATAACACTTCTCTTTTCAATGCTTATCAATAATTATAAACAGATACAACATTTCTGGAATACCCCTAAAGGTATTGTCTCCCTTGATCTGGAGAAGGAATGTAGTATTTATGTTTATTTTTCATGTGTATTGGTGTTTTGCCTGCATATATGTCTGTGTGATGGAATAAGATTCCCCCAAACTGGAGTTACAGTTTTGAACAGCCATGTGGGTGCTGGAAATTGAACCTGGGTCCTCTGTAAGAACAGCCAGTGCTTTTAACTACTGAGCCATTTCTCTAACCCTGAAAAATGTTCTTTTTTTTTTTTTTTTTAAGATTTATCTATTTTTATGTATGAGTGCTCTATCTGCATGTATGCCTTTATGACAGAAGACAGCATCAGATCCCACCATAGATGGCTGTGAGCCACCATGTGGGTACTGGGAATTGAACTCAGGACCTCTGGAAGAGCAGCCGGTGCTCTTAACCGCTGAGCTATCTCTCCAACCCCGAAAAATATGCTCTTAAATGTATATAAAATGAAAAACAATCTATAAGAGATTCACCCCAAACCTGAATGAGGATGACTTTCTGGTCATGCAGTTTATTACCCAATTGGATCGAACTGGAAAAAAAGACAAAAATGTGAGAGGTCTTGCAAAGGAGAAAACTGGTCATGAAATAATCTTCCAATAAATAAGAGGTTAGGGAACAAGTATCAGGAAAACACAGTAAAGTCAGAGTTAACACTGGCTCATTTCACCATAGAACCTTTTCTGACCCTTCCATATGGCTGTATGACATTTCTTCAAGAGGACAATTTGTACCTGACCAATACCAAACCTAATTCAAGACCAGAATTTTCAGCATAGCACACCACACAGCCACCAAATCTGTTGCAGTATCTTTTGTTTTTCTCAACTTTTACACTCACATGCACATACACAAATGCCATGGCATACATGTGATCAGAGGACAACTTGCAGGAATTGGTCTCCTAACATGTGGTCCAGGAACTGAGTGCAATTTGCCAGGCTTGGTGGCAAGTGTCTACCCACCAAGACAATATCTTAGGTAACAAGAAAATATCTCCAAGAACTTACAACAATCCAGCCTTCGTTTCCTGCTTAGATGTACCTTTACTATGCTTCTGAAGATGGTTCTTAATTGTTGTATTCTCAAATTTACACTGATTTTTTTTTTTAAACAAAGTCTAGAAAAGTGACAAACAACCTGCCAAATGATCTTTTGTCAGTGCAGCTTTGTTATCCAAACAGGTTAATATAAGTGAGTGCTTGTTACCAACAGCATGGTGTTACTTTGATTCTGAGCTTTGCTCTCATTCTGTCTTGGAGTATATTTCTTCTTTCCCTAATCAGAGAACAGTGACATCCTTGGTGTTTATAACTAAAAATGTAAGCTTAACCTTGTATTGAAAGGTCTCCTTTCTGGTTTCAATTTTAGGTAAATATTAAACTGCTGGTTCTTCTATGATCTAAGACTAAGATATGCTAATTTGTAGGAGAGCAAAATCTTACCTCGTGTGTTAAACTGGTTGTCTGTAATGACACAGACATGAAAGAGGGGAAGAGCCTCCAAAGGTTGAAGCACATTCTACCCACTAGCACATTCTTCCTAACACTCTTAAAAAAAAAAAAAAACAAAAAAAAAACAGTTACAGTTACGAAGTAACAGTGTTAATAACTGGAATTTCTACTCGTAAAAAAATGGTGAGATGAAAATGTTAGTGTTTTTACTAATGACAACTAAATCCTGGAAATATTTACATAGTATCTAGGAAATAAAGTTTACTTTCTTAAGATTGCTTTTCAAAGCAGTATTTTCCATACTATTAACTTAAGAGTAAATGTAGTGGTAATTTGGAAAATAAAATTTGTTTACCACTTTAGTATATCCTATGTTTAGTGTGGTAAAGCCTTTCTATGGGGCTATATTACATAGCAACATAGGCTGTTAAGACATAATTGTGTTTGAGAGTTGTTCACAATTTCCTAAAGCAATCATGCATATCATCAATTCCTAATGTCTAAATAAGGTGAAAGTTCTGTATAATTCTACCGTACCTCTTACTAAATCAACATGCTGCTATGTATGAGAAAGGAAAAGTGATAATGGTAACCAGAGAGACAAAGCCTTGAAAGGCCACCTCTCTCCAAAGTCATTCAGCCTTATGCTAGGCATGGTGGCACACGCCTTTAACCTCAGCACTTGGGCAGAGGCAGAAGAATCTCTGTGAGCTGGAGGCCAGCCTGGTCTATAGAGTTGAGCTCCAGGACGGCCAGGGCTACACAGAGAGACCCTGTCTCAAAAAAGAAAAGAAGAAAAAAAAATCATCTAAGGTTTCTTTTCACTCTGAAGTTTTGTGATTTGAAAATAAAACTGCTTTCAGCAGGGTCTGTTGTTAAACTTTTTTTTCTTTAAAAGATACAGGGTCTCACTACTTAGCCCTGACTGGCTTGGAACTTGCTATGTAGAGTAGGCTGACCTCTAACTTAGAGATTCCCCTGCCTTCCCATTATTAGGAATAAGGTCTGTGCCACCATACCTGGATTCTGTCTTCAATCTTAACCTATTCAATCAGGCCTGTTTAAATACTATAGAAAGGTCACCTCTAATCTGATTTCCCTGAAGGATTATACATTCTTTCCTAGACATACTCTGCTTGCCTAAAAGCACTATTTAAATAGCACAAAAATAAAAGAAATAAACATGTTACACTCCATGTAACATTTCATAATAAGTTAGATCATATTAAAACTTAGATCCTGGGTTTAAAGAAGTCAGTATCTCATGTAATTTTAGGGTTTTTAACCTTAAATTCAATTTGAATATGGAATTTTAGTGTATCAGAAGCAAAGATAAGAAATTCCACATGTGAGGGAGGTTAAAGCCAAAATAGCATCAGAAGCAGTGGTGTTTAAGAGTGGGAGGTGATACTATCTTTGCTAATAACATTGAATTGTTACTGTCCTGAAAAGATAGCTACATATCAAATATCACTAATATGTGAAATCTATCTGAAGGGAACATTTTCTTATTATCAGAGACAAATTTTCTTAGGAAAGAGAAGAAAATATGTACATATATCCTCACAATAGCAAAGACCCTTTCCTCCCCAGGTAAAAACTTCATCCCCAAAACACAAACAAGGTTATGTAACCTACACTTAGTAGTTTTTTTACTTTTCATATAAAGTGAGAAGCTTTATAAGCCCCCAGTAATTAGTATTTAAAGAATACATAAACAAAATTAAAGTTTTAGTAAAAACTACCTTGGATACCATTATAAAATCAAGAGAAATATACTAGTCTTTCAATAGGCCATCTTCATGCTAAACTTCCCAATGAAAACATGTGACTGCTCAAGAAAAGAATGTATGTTAGTATGGTGAAAAAGAAATTTAATTTTTACAAAACACGTTTTTAAGTTTCCTCTGTAGACTAATTGACAGGTAGGCAAAAATATAAAAGACCACAGATAAACTTAGTATTAGAAAAACATAAAATATAGTTAAAGGTATGTAGGGGTATGGGAAAGCTAAGTCTTTACAATTGAGATTTTAAGTGTTATACTAGCAGGATTATGAATGGGGGACTTAAATGTGAAACACTTTGTTTTCATTATGAATATGAAAACAGGAAAGTGTTAAGCACATGAGAGACACTGTTGTTGCTCAGAGGGAATCATTAAGTATGTCTGCACTTAGGGCAGTAAATACAAGGATACAAAGCAAATTCCTTAGCCTACCTAAACTCAACAAGTCCCTTAGGGATTTCTATGTTGTTTTGGCCAAATGGTAGCAGATTCTAACAGGTACAAATAAAACACCCTTTTCACTGAATAAGAAAGCTGTTTATATGATCTTAGAAAACACTGAATTCATAAAATTCATTCATAATTTAGTTTTACCAAGCATCTTAGTTTTTTTTTTTTTTTTTTTTTAAAACCCCTTGGTATAAAAATTTACCTCATGAGGTTCATTTCCATCACAGTCACATGGTCTAGTGCACTTCAGAGTATTTGGAAATTATGAAAACTGTCCTTTTCCAATGAAAACCTTTAAGAAAACAAGCACTTCTTAAATAAGTGGCATGTGAGGCTCACCTGCTTTAAGTAGAGATGTGTGATTCACTGGAGTAAAACATGACTATTTTACAGTGTCTATTAAAAGAAGTTCTCTACGAGAAAGCTACAGCATCCTGAAGACTTCTCAAGAGCTAGCTGAGCACATGCACCTTTGGGCTCAACATGCTTTTCCTTCCTTCCCTCTTTTCCTGCTCTTGGCCAAGTCCATTTCCATCATGCACACACTGATGACACTTCTCACCACTGCGTTTAGCTGGGAAGCAGCTGTGAGTTTTCGTGAAGTCCACTGCAGCAGTGGACCCCTCAGGCCATTCTGGTACTTATGGTTAAATTACATCCAACGTGAAATTTCGAATCACATCCAGAGCTGAAGTATCAAAGCCGCACATATCCAACATGCCTCTGTCATCTGGGTCTGCGATGGTAAAACCATTTGATGTCAACCCACAAACAATCAATTTAGCAGGAATATCCATTTTCTGTACAGAACATATAGGGGAAAGTAAATATTTATGTAATTATATGACAAGAAAAACAAACAAAAACCCTTCAAAATTAAGAACATTTTTGGAATGCTGGCTTAGAACTCATAACCATGGTCCACTCTACCAAACACTGGGATTACAGGCGTGTACCACCAAGTCCAGTTTATAATTCTGATATACAGAATAGATCTTGCTTTCTGGAACTACAATTCTGGTCCCATTCTTTTCCTGACTCTCTGCCCCATCTTCCAGCTGTTTCTCTTTCTTCTTCCTACCTATCTTTTGTGCTACGGACCAAACCAGGAACTTGAGTATACTGGTAAACTTTCTACCATTGAACTACTGAGCTATAATCCCAACCTCTCTGGATGTTGTTAGGATCACAATAACTAAATATTAAAAAAGAAATAAAAACAATGAATGTTCATTTTTGTCAGGCACTGTAATAAACATATGAAAAAATATTTTTATGATTTTGTTTTGATAAACTTTTCGACAGGATTTCACATAGCCCAGGCTGGCCCAAAATTTGGTATATAGCTGAGTATGACCCTGAACTTCTGATGCTAGTGCCTCTGCCTTCCAAATGCTAAGATTGTAGGTATATACCACAAGACTCGCCTTCACTTAGTATGATGCAGTGCTGGGGATTGAGCCTAGGGCTTCACATATGGTAGACAACTTTACCAACAGAAACACATCCCTAGCCCATATTTGTTTGTTTGTTCGTTTATTTATTGTGATGAGATCTCACTGTAATTGTAGCCCAGGCTAATCTTATACTCCTCATGTAGCTTAGAGTAGCCTCAAACCAATGGTCCTTTTGCCTCAGACTCTTTTGATTAAATACTTTATTTTTAATATGTATGTGTATGATGTAGGTGATTACAGAGGCTAGACACACCAGATCTCCTGGACCTGGAGTTATTGACAGGTGCTGGGACATGAACTCAGGTCCTCTGCAAGTGCAGGGTGTACTCTTAGCTACTGAGCCATCTCTCTACTCTCTACTCCCTTGCCTCCTCCATCTCTTGAGTACTAGGATTACATACTAAGCCACCATGCCCAATTCTAAGGACCAATTTGTTTTTGAGACAGGGTATAACTGTTGTACCAACTCTAAAAAGTACGTACCATTACCTACTATGACATGTCAGTTATCTAATTTGTTTAGATCCACAGTTCGCAGAAGAGGCTCAGCACTAATATCCATGTTGTGGAATATTAGGTGAAGATGTGTTAATTTGTTTATGGCTGTGGAACATTTGTTTAATGATGCAAAGATGTCCTGCATTCTTTTATGCTGCATTTGTTTAACTCTGTGAAGCTGTATTACTTTGTCTGCCTAAAACACGATCAGTCTATAATGAGCTGAACAGCCAGTACGTAGGCAGGAGAGAGAAATAGGCTGGCCTGGCAAGAAGAGAGAATAAATAGGAGGAGAAATCTAGGAAGAAAAGACTGGGGAGTGAAAGGAGAGGAGGACTCCAGGGGCCAGCCACCCAGCAACACAACAAGCCATGGGGTAAGAAGTAAAGAAAGATAAATAGTATATAGAAAGATAAAAGCCCAGAGGCAAAGATAAACGGGTTAACCTAAATTAGGAAAAGCTGGCTACAAATAAGCCAAGATAAGGCCAGGTATTCATAAGAAAGAATAAATCTCCCTGTGATTATTGGGGAGCTTGGTGGCAGGCTCCTCAAAGAGTAAAACAATCCACAACATATTCACACTGCTTTTAGTCCAAATACTATTTCTTCCATTATGACACTCAAAAGTAAAGCATTCACGAGAAACCTGAACCCTGCCCACAGTGTTGGACTCAGCAGATGTCTGATGGGGCCTTTGTTGATTTACATATCCAATGTGGGCACCAAACGATGATATAGCCGGTAGGAAAATTATGTTGAGAGAACTACTGTTCTTCACAGCAAGTTCTGCTTATCCTAGTCATGTGAGCCACACATTTGTATTTGACAGCCTAATGACCACTGTCTACCGTAATGGACACAATAGTAACAGAACATTTCTGTCAAGGAAAATGATCAAAAGAGGTATGTCCATAAAGTTCAGAATACAGACTGAAAAAATGTGCTTTAACTTTATGTAGTTCTTTAGTTAAACTCACAAATGTTATGTTTCCAAAGAATGTAATGTATCATTAAAAATATGTGAGGTCAAATACTTACTTGGTCATTATCAAAAGCTGTTGCAAAGGGCATTCTTATTAATATTTAGCATGGGACTGGGTGATGAATGTGTAGTCCCTACCTTTTTTTCCCCAAGTACTACAGAGTCCATGTGATACTGGGTTTCCTATACAAATGAAGAGAACACACTCAAAGGGAATGGAGTATTGTTTGGTGTGAAACAGGTTTGTGTTTTACCTTTCGGTACTCCTTCAGGGCAACAGCAGGATGCACCTGTCCAGCACAGGTCTCATTATCAGTGAATACAATGAAGACATCAGCAGCTGTGTTTGTCTTCTGGGCCCAGATCATTGGAAGGGAGCAATCAGTGCTACCTGCTGGCACCTTTCTCAGAAAAAAAGAGAAAGAAATAGTGCAATAAAATCATCTCAGTGTCCATCAGATGTCTGAAATGAACACATAAAAGCTCTAATTTTTAGAGTACCACTTTATTTAAAACCAGTATTGAGGCTTCGTCATGTCTCTCTCTCTCTCTCTCTCTCTCTGTATGTATGTATGTATGTATGTATGTATGTATGTATATGCACACACACACACACACACACACACACACACACACACAGGATTGTGCTGGCTATGAGAAGTTAGAACAATTTCTTCCTACTGATGTTATGCATGCCCCAAGTAAAAAATTACAGGACATGTTAATAAAACAGTGTCTTACCTGATTCATAGCCGTTAAAACCTGCTGTAAGGTCATGTCTGTAGTCACAGGAAATGGAACCATATCACATGCAAATGCAACTACTGTAGACTCTTTTTCTGTTCGTGTGACCACCTGTAAAGTGCAAGGGTAACAGTTTTCAGCGACTGAAATAATCACAGTCTCTCAAAGGCCTGTATAACTTCATCTCTGAAAGAAACACTATGATGTTTATTATTCCTGAGCTTGCATTTTTTGTGTTTCAGAGTATAGAGTCACAGTACTCTTCATGGCTGGTGAGATGGCTCAGTAGGCAAAGGTGCTTGCCACCCAACAATCTGAATCTAATCCCTGGAACCCACATGGCGGGAGCACAGAGTGACTCCTTAAGTTAACCTCTGAGGTCCCCTCCCCGGAGGCCAATGCAATCCATAAATGAAAACAAATAAAAAGGGTGACTCAAAAAAAATCACTGAGAAACTGGTATTTATAGCACCCTCTGATGTGAATAAACACACACATACACACACTCTCTTACTTTTTATTTTACTAAATTAGGAACAAAGGCACAGAAGTGAAGATGGCTTCTTTGCTATGCGGTAATGGAAGCATGGTCGAGAACTGACCCTAATGCCCATCACTAGTTTCTTGAGCTTTTAAACATGCCCCACCCCACTAAGCATATTTTTTTTTTTCTAAGCACCACCTAATTTGCAAATACTAGTAACATTTAATCTTGCTAAAAAATCTGGCAACATAATTCTGATTATATTTTACACATGGATTTTCAGTATAACTAAAACTTTGCGTTATAGACTGTTAATTAAGTAAAATGAAAAAAATAAGTGATGCTGGGCAGTGGTGGCACACGCCTTTAATCCCAGCACTCGGGAGGCAGAGGCAGGCAGATCTCTTTGAGTTCGAGGTCAGTCTGGTCTATAAAGTGAGTTCCAGGACAGGCTTCAAAGCTATATAGAGAAATCCTACCCTGAAAGACAAAAAACAAAACAAAACAAACAAAAGTGAAAGACTAGTTTTTTAAATTTTGTTTTTGTTTTATGTGCACTGGTATTTGGTCTGAATGTATGTCTGTGGTGAGGCTGTCGGTCCCTTGGAACTGTAGTTACAGGCAGTTGTGAGCTGCTGCGTGCTTGCAGGGAACTGAGCCTGGCTCCTCTGGAAGAGCAGCCAGTGCTCTTAGCTGCTGAGCCTGCTCTGAAAAGCCAATCCCTGACGCTGTTTACCTTTACAGTTATACTTTAACCACATTTTAGGGGATGGGAATGCTAAATTGTTACAGGGGATCTCACCATGCACATTGCTGCAGCAACAGTACTAGCATTGAGTATACTACCCAAAACTCTCTGGTTCATAGAGGCACTGACATCAACAGCTAGCAAGAAACGCTTCCCAGTTGGCTCAACCGTCTAAAAAGAAAACAACATAGTCATGAAAAAGTCAATGATTGGAAATCGATTAAGCTGAAAAACAAAACAAAACAAAAAAACAGAAAGAAAGAAAAAGAAAAAAGAAACTTATTTCTTTGTCTTTCATTTGTAAGGCTCTCAGAGGAAAGGCCTGGTTTTTTGATAGGTAAGTTAAGTGACTATTTTTAAAGTTCTACCTCTTATTAACTGGTAAAGAAAACAATGTAATTCATTTAATTTTACTTAAAGAAGCTAATGACCTCGTTTTAAATACTTTTCTCAATGAAGTAAAAGGGGAACTTCTAGGATTTATTTATTTACCATGGCAAAAGATAGATACCAACATTTACTGTTTAGCTTAGCCATTTTTAAGAGTGTAATTCAGTGGCAATACATATTTATTTACAGCTGATAAGTATTGCCTCTATTTCTAGATGCTCTCATTATCACAATAGAAACTTTATCCAATTAAGCACCTTAAGCTTACACACTCACCTTGAGCAGTCTTCTAGGCTGCTTCCTGGCTCTATAGTATGTACTTCACAAAATGCAGTTACAGAAAACCTCTGGGTACCTTTTGGCTACTTGAGTAATGCTGGTATGGACACTAAGTGTACAAGTACAAGGTCAAGTACCTCCTACTTTCTTCATAACAGTCTATGATACACACAAGTGTCTTCTCTCTTTTTTTTTTTTTTTCTGATACAGAGTTCTGTGCAACTCTGGCTATATTGAAATTCAAGCCATTGATCTCTTTGAAGTATTTTTTTGTATATGCTGTAAGAAAATGATCTATTTTGCCCCTTTTGAACATAAATGTGCAGTTTTTAACAAGACAATTTTTGAAAATTGTCCTTTCTAAATTAACTTAATCCAGGAGCTGTTAAACAACAACCATCCAAATGGGTCTGTTTGTTTCCAGACTCTTGTTTTATTCCTTTGTCATTATGTTTGTCTTTGTAAGAGTAGCATAGTGCTCTGGTTACTGCTGCATTATAATTGAGTTTCGAAATCCAGATATTTGAGTTCTGCAAATTTTGGTTATTTGTGGAATCACTTGAGATTTTATATGGATTTTTAATTTTCTGCAAAACATGCCACATGGGACTGTGAAATCTATAGACTGCTTTGGATTGCTCTACTCTCTTCACACTGTCTCCTAATGTAACAGTGTGATGTTTTCCCATTTGCCCTTATTCCTGTCTTTCTTCTACTGATATTTTAAATACTAGTATTTTCTTAATTTCCTTTTCAAGTTGTTTATCACTACTGTAAAGAACTGATTTATTACTTACTTGCTTCTTTCCTCTCCTAGTTTTCTGGGATAGGGTCTCATGTAGCCCAGGATGGTACTAAACTTATGGTGTTGGGGAAGGTGACTCTCACTTTCTGACTGCTACTTCTACTACTCAAGACTTAGGATTACAGATCTGTACCACCAAGCCTGTGTGTGTGTGTGTGTGTGTGTGTGTGTGTAATGCATTGCTTTATAACCTGTAAGTCTGCTGAATTTGCCTACTTTAACTTGGCTTATATGTGAATCCCTTAGGGTTTTCTACTTAGAATAATGAGCATGCTATGTTGGGCTTTTATCTTATATATCAGTGATGTGGGAAAGTAGCCACCCTTATTCTTGATCTTAAGGAAAAAGCTTCTGTCATTTTACCTGAATATGATGAAACCTATGATTTTTTTTTTATTTTTTTAATATATGCATCAACTGACACTATCATGTGGCAGAGAGAAATGTCACCTGGTGATTATGCATAACCCTTTTAATTTGCTTCTCAATTTGGATGTTACATTTTGTGGTGTATCCAGAAAAATCTTGAAATAAAAGAATTTTAACTTATAGCTCTGGTTTCCATTTTGAAAACCTGATTATTGAGCTCCCAAGTAGCAATGGAATTAAAAAAAAGAGTACTAAGTTAAAGGAACCCTCAGACATACAAATTCTCAAATTCAGTAATTTATCAGTATGACCTTAAAAAGTATTAAAATGATCTTGGGAATAAGTAGCTGCTACTCAGAGTAACAAGAATTAATCATAAACTTAACATCAGTTTTGCAGTCACCTTCATATCAATAAAGAAAAACGCATGCATATATACTTTAAACTAGATAAACTACTACTATTACCAAAAAATGTGTTTTTATAAAATATATTAATCCCTGAGTCTTTTTTAAATAAACAAAACTATTACCTTAAATGTTTTATAAAAAGCAGTGTCCAATGCTTGCAAAATTTCTTTATCAGGAGTCCACTTCAATTTACCTCTGAGTCCATGACCTGTTCTGTAGGTTTCTAATGCAATTAGAACATGAAATGGATGTATACGAGCCTGGAAACAAGACAGACAGATGGTAGTTGCCAACTTCAAATAAAATTAACAATTGTGAGTCTTCAGAGTTTTATGTTACTATAGGTAATAAAGATATTCACTAAAGAAAGAACAAATATTAAACAGATTTAAGAATTAAATGCAACTTGTCATGAGAGAGGTCTTAGTTCACTTGAGAGCCAACTTCTGTAGCTAACCAACATACCTTTTTGAGTAGTTTTTCATTGCATAGTTTTTCACATACTAAAGATACTTCAGAATTTCCTGGTTCAAGCACTGAATTAGCAGTCATCTTTCCCAGATTCCTCAGTAGTGCAGTGAGGGGCATTTCTTGTAACAAAGCCTTCCATACCTACAAGGAGAAAAAGGAACAACAGAAGGTGAACAGCATAGCTAGAAATATAAAGAACTAAGGGGAAATGCACCAGTGTAACAATGCTAAATCAACCACATAAACAGTATATTGGGTAAAACATTTACTTAGGGTTTAAAGTACTTCTAGAATGCCAATAAATTGATCAGAGACTTATCAAAAAGGAACTCAAGGTTTTGTGGAGAAAACACAGAGCTTTTAAGGTAGTTTTTTTTTTTTTTTTTGTAGTAATGTTGAAATTATGTTAACACAGAATTCTTTCTGTCTATCTATCTAGAGACAGAGTTTTTTTTGTAACAGCTCTAGCTATCCTGGAATTGGCTTGTAGACTAGGCTGCCCTCAAACTTACAGAGCTCTACCTACCTCTGCCTGGCTGGGATTAAAGACTGCCTGGCTACATTGAATATGTTTAATACGTTATCACTTTAAAGATATGTTTGGATTCTCTCTCTCTCTCTCTCTCTCTCTCTCTCTCTCTCTCTCATGTAAGTGAATGAGAAAAGGCCTGATGTTGATGCTGGGAATCTTCCTTACTAGCTTCTCACTGTTGTTTTTGAGGCAGGGTCTTTTAGTCAAACTCAGTGCTCCTGGAAGTGAGATTTGGCTAGTCTTGCTATTATTACCTTGCTCTGGGATTCCATGTCTGTGTCCACCTGGCATATGAACACTGGCTGGTCCTCTTCCTTTTGACTGTTCATCAAGTGCTGTAAACACTGAGTCATCTCCCTAGCCTCTTCTCTTGTTTTGGAGGGGTTGGGGATTGAACCCAGGGTCTGGAACTTACTCACCTCTTTAGACTTCAGGTGATTTGTGAGCAGATGTTCCCTAACTAACTGGTGTTCTTCAATTAGATGAATGACTTCCAGCTCATCGTTTGTACGCTTCACCTTCTCCACAGCCTCCAGATACTTCAGTAGTTTTTCAGTCTCCACAGAAAGTGCTTTTTCTTTATACAGTTCATGTACTTCCTTCCAGCCCTTTGTAATATATTTGGTCACAACAGCAAGTCCTTTAACAAGATAAAGAATTGAAAATGCAAGTAGGATTAGTGAAAATAGATGAACATGATCAGCTTAATTAAAAGACAGCAGCTGACTCCTTTAAAGTGGGATGTTATGTTCTGCCACATAAGCAAATGAAGTGAGTTTTTATTTTTATTTTTCAACACACCATTACTGTCTAAATACATGGTAGTGGGGGAATGAATCCACTACAGTTTAAGCCAACTGTACTACAGAGGCACTTCTGAGATACTGAAATTATAAACTTCATAGATAGTGTCTATTTCACATCCATAACCTCATTCAGAGAACAGATCTATTCCAATGGTTATCATACTGATTTGTCCTTTGCTTCTGGATAAATATGGATTTATGAACAGTAGTGACTGAGTGGAAACAGGTATTAAATTGTTTAACAACAGAAATTATTATAAGCCCAATGCTACACACACACACACACACACACACACACACACACACACACACACACACACACACACAGTTTTTTAAGACAGGGTTTCTCTGTGAAACAGTTCTGGCTGTCCTGGAACTTGCTGTGTAGACCAGGCTGGCCTCGAACTCAGAGATTTGCCTGCCTCTGCCTGCCAAGTTCTGGGATTAAAGTGCACCATCATCAATCCAATATTTTAAAAAAGGAAAATAACTTGTGCATTCCTTTTACTTTCTTTTTTTTTAATAGTAAAAAGAGGTTTGAAGTGAGAAAAATCTACGTTGTAGCCTACAGTTTGTTTCTGGTAATATCTTTTGCTGAAAACACCTCTTGCCTTTGAAGAGACCACTTTTATCAGACCTTGAAACTGATTTAGTATCTCTTGAGATCATTTAAAACTAAGTACTCAACCTGCTATCCTACTGTGGACTTAGCTGGTTTAACTTCAACCTGCCTAAGGAAAACAATGTAACTAACCTTACCTTGGATATCCTATGTAATCAGCTTTTACAACCTAAGCAAATCTTAAAGTATGTATGTACTCTTCCATGTCCCTGACCAAGACCAACGTATTTATGTGTGTGTGCTGTGGTAATTACATAGGTTAAAGGCAACTTAAAACAAAAAATATCTCAAAAATGTTGGAAGCAACACAAGGACATAGGTTGATAACATCTGTGCTCGTTTTAAGAGCTACTTTGGTCAGTGTGGTAACTCCTTTCCTTGTAAACTTTGTTAAAGATTTTTACAGAAAAGTATCCCTCATGCCCTTCCCAGACCATGCTATCTGTGAGGTTCAACAAATAAAGAGCAAAGCCCTTTGTCAGGACAAGTAATAGGAACAGATTTGAGACCACCTACAGATAGAAAACAGATAGGCCACAGACCACAAACTGCAGACAGAGAGAACACAGGGACAGAAGCAGAGAATTAAAAAGTGGGCTCACTTTTGATCTAAACTACTCCAACAGATAGTGTCTTTTTCCATTCCTTAACACACATTTCTGATAAACTGTAATCTTTCTACCTCTTAATCTCCAAATCTGTAATGGGTAGAGATTAACAAATCCAGGTAAAATACAGAAACAGGCCACAGGGATCTAAAAACCATTAGGGACTGGTAGCCAGAGAGCATCAACTGACATGTACTGGCTTAGAGCTGCCAAAAGCAAAACAACGGCAAAAAAGGACTGTCAAGTCTTGAGCCAGGCCTCTAATTCCAGCTCCTTAGAAACCGAGGCAGGAGGACATTGAGAGTTCAAGGCCATCCTGGGAAATTTAGTGAGACCTTGCTTCAAAATAAAAAATTCAGAGGGTGGGAGATATAGCTCAGTGGTAAGGAATTTACCTCGTATGTGTATGGAGGTGCAAAACAGATGAATGATTAATAGAAAAAAATGAAAGGTTGGGGATTTAGCTCAGTGCTTTACAGAGGACTTGCCTACCATGTACGAGGCCAAGGTCAGCTGATCTGAAGGCAGGTCAGAATGCAGATTTTTATATGAAGTCTTAAGATTTTTAAAATAAACCGACAAAACTTAAATTTTTCTTAAAATATTTTTATAGGCTAAATGAAACATAAGTCTAAGTAAAACTGAGCCAGCCTATGTGCAATTTTTGAACCCTAATTTAGGTAATTTAACCAAAAGATAATACTTATATATGCAGGACTTATTGTAACTTGTTATCTTTTTTTTTTTTTTTTTTTTTTTTTTTTTTTTTTTGATTTTCGAGACAGGGTTTCTCTGTCTAACAGTCGTGGCTGTCCTAGAACTCACTTTATAGACCAGGTAGACTCAAATTCACTGAGATCTAATTGCCTCTGCTGAGTGCTGGAATTAAAGGCCTGTGCCACCACCGCCCGGAGTAATTTATTATTTTACAGATTTAAGACAAAGCTGTCTTAAATTCTTCACATAAAAACATCTTCTAAGCAGGGTTGTGGTGATGCATCCCCTTTAATCCCAGAGGCAGAGGCAGGCAGATCTCTGTGAGTTTGAGGCCAGCCTGGTCTACAATGTGCATGCATTACAGGCAAGATTCAGGTTTAGTAAGCATATATCTTCTGGACAGCAGGTGGCACAGAGCAAAAGTGCACTCCTCTCTTGCTAAAATCTGCCTGTCATGGAACTTGAAGGCTATGCTGAATTACACATTTGGGACATTAACGCATGAAAGGGTCTGTGGGAAGGGACTTGAAAAGTTAGTTGCAATATAGCAATTACTAATCTTTCTTAAAAGGGAAACTAAAACCTAAATTTTAATAAGTCAAAGTATAAGATCAGAATATTCAACCATATGATTATCAATGTCTGGATTACCTATGGCAAGTCTTTAGTTTCAAGCTGTTTTTAAATGCCTGGATTAAGTAAGCAGCATTATGTTTTTTGAGTGAAAGCTAATTCTAGAAATTTTGCTATTTATCAGTCTCCTAAGTCTTACTACCCATTAGGAAAATCTTAGGCTTACCTTCACTGGAAGGTTTAAGATGTGACAGTCTTAAGAGATCTTTGTGAGACCAGCCATTTCTTTGTTTATACTTTGTAACTGCCAGAGCAATGGCCATGCCACCTTTTTCATTATACCAGTCTGCAACAGCCTTCCGGAGAGCACGACCCCACATACCACATTTCATGCTTTCCTTCAGATCTTTCTTAAACTGGATAAAAGTGAAGAGATGGGTTGGGATGTGACAAACTTCAGGAACAGCTTTAAACGCTGCTTGTTTCGTCTTTATGTCTGAACACTGGGAACAAATGGCAAGTGCAAACAGCAACGGCTCATGCTTTGCAGCCTTGCCTTCCTGACTAAATGACTTGATCTCCTGTATCACTTCACATCCTCTGCCGTCTTCAATCAATCTAATTAAGGCTTCAGCATTTTCAAGACCCAGCTTCTGCTCTTTGATATAGTAGGTGCCACCTTCAGAACCAAAACACAAGAAACGGTGCAGTCGGTTCATGTCTGTGACCTGCCATACATATCCGCCCTCAGAGTTGTCTACTTGACTGTCATTCAGTGGCTGCAACTGGTCTGCAGACTCTTCCATCTTCCTTGTCCTATCAAAAAGTCAAAGAGTCATTACAATTAAATGGAGTCAATACATTTTCATAAAGGTAAACAATAGTAAGTCTCTGCTTATCAAAATATTATGAATCTTTTTAATTTAAAAACATCTTTTGAGCTCAGTAAGTTTTTTTTTCAACAAAACATCACTATAACTATCCTCAAGACATTTTGAGTGTCTTACACTTGATCTTAGCTATAAGGTTAACCAGTGATGTGTTGTTTTTTCTATATGTTGTCCACTCTCTTAACTTAGAATGTAAAATATATGTAGACACTAGTAAAATCCTGGTGTTAGTACTTCAAATTCAGATCGTCCAAACTACAATATATACTTTTACAATTAGTAATATAAAGATTATTGTATTTTCCTTCAATCTACACATCTATTAAATCAAAACCTCTTTATCATAATATTTAAAAATGCTCTTTTTAACCCTGAAAAGTCAAGCAAATATGTCGTTTCTTTTAAATGGAATCCAGAGCTAATTTACATTTATTAAGTTATACTACAGTACAAAAACTAGGGCCACAAGTTCAAACAGGTATATCATACACAAAGGTAACAAAAGTACATGCCTCAAGCGTGCTGCAAAAAGAAGTATTGAGGACTGTGGCAAAATGTCACCATGGTCGTTCGCTCTGAGTAGTATTTTTTCCCCCTGGAAGCCAAAACCCTTCCTTGGAACCTGCTTTTAAGAAATGCTAAGTAACTAATTCTCTCTAAAACCTTAACACTACGTCACTCTGTAGGACTCCGATGAATGAGAAGTATTAACCGAAAGTAGCCATTTTTGCTTAATTCATCAGAACCATTTCAAGGGTTTTTAAAGTAATGCACTTTATTAAAAGGGGGAGGGGGAGCTCATTTCTCCGTAAGGCACTGCATCCCGATACACCAGTCTCTCATTCTTTTGGACTCTCGGGACAAATCTTTTAGGACGAATAATAAATTCTTCTAAGAGAAATTCGCGTCCCGTTTTCCCACAAAGCTCCGTTGCAAACCCGCATCCGAGACAACGCCTTCTGTACCAAAGCCGCGGGAGGAGGGGGAGAAAGTGAAAAGGGGCCTCGGCACACCGGCCCGCCAGGAGCTTTGCAAGCAGCAGAGTCGTCCTGGGTTCCCCAAGACCCCACCCTCCAGAGCAACCGGGCCAGGCTCGAAAGGTTCTGACGCGAAACCGGTCCTGCTGCCCGGCGGGCCCGGGAGCTCAGAGGCGGCGAAGGCTTTGCCTGGCCTGCGCTCCTGGGATGCCGCTGGGAGAGAGTGCGCACCGACCCGACCTCGGGTGCCCAGGATCGCTCGGAACGTCCAAAACCCGGTTCCCCGCTGCACAGTCGACCCACCTGTGCCTGGAAGTCGATGCTCAGGACCCGCGGCGCCTAAAGCACAAGTCCTGCACAGCGCGGGGAGGAGGCGGCGGCCCGAAAGGGAGGACAGCTCCCGGTCCAGGTCGGAGCGAGCCCCGCCCCTCCCTGGCCCCGCCCCTCCCGCCGCCCCGCCCCAGTCCTGGAGTGCGAAGGGTCCCGGATGTGCCTCCCTCCGGCGCTCCCGAGGCCCCGCCCCTTCTCCCACCGGGCGGAGGACGCGCTACGGATCCTGAGAGGCGGCGGCGGCGGCGGCGGAGGAGGAGGAGTTTCGACGTCTCCTGGGTGGCTAGAGCGTCTTCCTGCGCTCCGTCGCGCTGCAGGTGACGGCGCCCGGAGGCTGTCGGGAAGTAGGCGGGGTGACGTGGGGTTGACGCTCGGCGGCGGGTTTTGCTGAGCTGCGCGGCCGGTGGCAGCTGGTGCTCGGGGGCTCCGGAGAGTGCGCGGTGCAGTGGAGTGGGGCGGCGTGTGTGGCCGGGGCCATGACGAGCAATGCCGGGGAGTGGTGTCTCATGGAAAGCGACCCCGGGGTCTTCACCGAGCTCATTAAAGGATTCGGTGAGCACCAAGGGGACCGTCCTGGGCCGGGGGTTCCGGGAGGAGGTCCACGTTGGGCCAGGTGGCCACCGACGCCCGGCGTCGGAGAAGTGACTTGAGGGACTGGAGTCGGCGTGCGTGGAAAGTAGGGCTGCGGCGGCGTCCTCGGCCCGGGCCAGCCGCGTCTCCGCAGTGAGCTTGGGAGCCACACCACGAGGGCGAGCATCCCCTCTGCCTTGTGCACTGCTGTGTTCTGCGGACTTGGGACTCGACGTGAACTGACTGAGCGTCTTCCTTCCCTGTCTCTTCCCCCCTCGTCACCTCCCACGTGCTTATCTTGCCCTTTCCACTGCCCCTTCCCCGCGGAGCCTCCCTGCCCCCGGCGTGGTCAGGTGCATCGCCCAGGCCGTCGGTCGTGCGGAGCAGCGGGTCCAGGGCGTGTGTTTTCCAGGGTGGTGTCCGAGGCCCCGGCCGCCCAGGAACTCGAGATTCTAGTTTCTCAAAGCAGAACTCTCACCTCTTCCGGACCGCCACAGATGCCGACTACGCGGGCCTGCACGCTGCTTCTCCCTGGTTCTTTTACTCCCTCCTTTTTGGCTTCCGGTGAAGTGAGTTCTCTTGAGGTAGTGCGCTCTCCTTGAGACCACATGCTTACCTCTGCATTTCTTTCCGACTGCTATTTCCTTCCGTACTAGTCAACCAATGGGACATTTTTATCCTTACTTTACTCATGTTCCCAGCCTTTTTTATTTTTTTCCATTTTAACTTTTTTCCTCAAATGTTTTTAACTGTTTTGTTAAAATTTGTACCCGGGATAGAGCAAACGTGAATGTAGATCTTATCTATTGGACATGACCGAATTTTGGAATATTACCTAGCATATGTTCAGCTGTGCCTCGGACCTACAGTTAAGGATTGGGAAATTTTAATGTGAATAACCGGTTTGCTGCTGTGAATGCTGTGAAGAACTTGAGTTAAAACGTTAATAATAGGCGTTCTTACATTAAGAATATACCGAAAGTGTTTTAAGCATATAACTCAATGGAAGAGCTGAGCAAAAGGAAGCATAATCTGAATGTACTTTGTTATGTGAAGTGCAGTTATCAGAATATAGTTTATGGTGCAGCTAGCAAAGTCACTAAAACATGGTGTAATAATTGGGCGGGAAGAGTATAGATCTTGGTTGGGAGGGTAAAGCCATGCCAAATTGTGTACCATATTGTCTAAATTGGATTGCCCTACAGTCACTGGGGTCTTAATCCAAGAAATATTTGATTGAAGGTCAAAAATATAAAAATAAAATTAGTTTGTGATTAAGACTGGTTATGCCTACAGTGTTAAGAGTTGTGATGACTAAGATGAGAATCTTCTTGAGGATGATAAGTTTGTGGGTGATTGGCTTGATATGAAGTCATGGGCTACAGAGGAAGTAGAGTTAGTATTTACATAGTATTTCAATTTCAAGTTGCATGTGGAAATACCTCTCCTCATTCTCTTTGGAGCAGGAATACATCCAGAACATGCTACATTAAAAGAGGAGTTCTCAGGGCTGTCAACCTTACAGTAGAGGTTGAGTGGTAGTATATTTCTCCTACACAAAAAGAGAAAAATAATTAACAGGACTGCTGGTTTACTGAATGCAGGAAAGAAAGAGATGGAAAGTATCATAGGGGCTAATAAAACAATTAGAGTAGGCTTAATAGAAACTAAGATTAAATCAGTTTTAATTACTACTGAATTTGAAGCATTTGCAGGTTTATCGATAAATTTTATCTTCAGAATCTTTTAACTGTGTCATTAAAAAAGTTGACTTTCAGAGATAGTGGCCCATGTAAGTTTATTTTTAAATTAACACGTGCAGTCTAGGGAGGCATAGGAGGAGCTCACCCTTCCGGAAAGCTGCCCTCTGAGTCCCACACACTCGTTGCAGCCCATGCACACCATAAAAAGAAGTTAATGTAGTCCATAACCTGCCGCTGTTATCAGTTCATGCATACAGAAGACTTGGCATTTGAAAGTAGTTTAGATAAAGTTAGGTATTAGAGTAATAATATGGGATGTGTTTGTATATATTAAAAATAAAGCAATAGTTTTTAATGGATTGGCTCCTAATGTAGAAGGACTTTGTAAGAAGCTAAATGAAGGTAGTTTATATACATCAGCTGCTTCAAAGGAAAAACACCTAACTTTATTCCAGTTACTTCCACCTTTTTTCCTGCCTGGTTCTTGTATTTACAATAGGGTCTGGAAGTTAATTTGTTTGAAAGTGAAACGTCTGTCTGTGTTAGGAATACTATTGCAGATTTCTTTGAAATGAACTCACTAACATTGACTAGAGTAGTACCTGCTGTGTTCATACTTTCAGCTCACTGTGTTGACCCAGGTGTAGCTCAGTACAGAGGTCTTTGCCATGAGAGAAGTCTGGAGTAGTTTTCAGTTTTCTCATCTATAACCACTGATCCATTTCTTAACACAGATATGAATTACTTGGGTTCAGCATGGTGTTTCCTTGTGATTAAGTCACCTGTGTATTTTGCTTTATTCTGCAGAGACAAGTTAATACTTGGCTTTCTCACAAGAAAAGTAGTTTTGAGAGGTCCATAAGTACTGCTTATAATTATTGGGATCCCCAAAACATCACCAAGTCTTTTACAGGGTATTAGTCAATAATTTAGAGAGGTTCTTATTCACATCACCAGCCACATGGCATATATGTAATACCATGGGCTAAGGGAGAATGGGGTTGAGGGAAACTTATGAGAGTGTTTTTTTTTTTTTTTTTGTGGGGATGAGGAAGCTGGAGTCATCTCCACTGCTTTTGGTAGACTTAGTGATGATGTTAAGAGAATGAAAAACTGTTGTGAATCAACAATTTGGGAGATAGCATAGCAGTTGTTTTTGGGAGAACACCACCAACGTTTTCATAGGAAACAGTGTTCTGTGTGAATTTTAAGGAAATTATTGTTCTCTATAGTTTAGAGAATCATCCCTGAAAGCCATAGTCTTGGTTTGGAATACATGAAAGTTAAGGAAACACATAACAAAACATGGAGAGAGAAAGCATCAAATTGGGACTGGAGCAATGGCTCAGTTAAGAACAGGTATGCTCATAACTGCTTGTAACTTCATCTCCAGGGGATCCTTGTGGGTCCCAAGGACACCTGAACTCATGCATATGCACACATATGATGACAAAATTAAATAAATAAGTTAGGAAGAAGCATCATTATAGGCTGGAGAGTTAAGTTGACTGAATAGTTGAAACAGTTGCTCTTCCAGAGGACCTGGATTCAATTCCTAGCACCCACCTGGCAGCTCACAACTGCCTATAACGTCACTCCCAGGAGATGCAGGGCTCTATTCTGACCTCTGTAAACGCCAGGTGTGCACGCAGTGTACATACATACATGCAAGCAAAACATAAAATGATTAAATAAATCTTAAAAGCCCAAAGCATTATCAAATCAGGTAATCAAAACATTCAGCAGCCGATTGAGAAGTCCCTTTGAGGTAGCTGGAGTGCCCCAGAGAATTCTGGGCAGAGCAGAGTGTCCCCTCCAGTGAGCCTTCCAGGTAAAAGAATAAATGCCAGTATTCACAGCATCCAGCAGAAACTAACTGGAGAAGTTGAGTCCAATTTCCTGACGTTTTGCTATCTACCTGTAATTTACTAATTGTTCATTTACTTTGACTTGCTATATACTTAATAAAATCATTCAAAACCAAAAGTATGACTACTGTAAATCATTCTTTAGACTATACAAAGTTTTTTTTCTTGGCCAGTCATGGGAGGCTGATGGTGCAGGAGAATCACAAGTTCAAGATCAACTTCAGTTGAATAGTGAAACTCTAAGGAGGCAAAAGAAAATGAGAATAATTTTTAAATTAGATTTGGAGTTTTAGAGTTCTATAAAACCACCTGTATCAACATGTTAGTGCATAAATATTTCAAAACTTAATGTAATTTTAATTTTAGAACCTCTTTAGAAGGGTGTTCTGGTCTGGATGACTGATCATATGATCCATACAGTATAAGATTTAGCTCAGTTACTCATGAAAATGCTACCATAAATATCAGTAGTAATGAATGATCTGTCTAGTCCTGAATTTGTAGAATGTCTTATGTATCCTTCATATATATGTATCCTGCATGGTCTTTGGTTTGTATGTACTTATCTATTGGATCAAAGGACTGATGAGTGTTACAATGGTTTATTCACATCTGTCACATTCTCTACTTGTGCATGGCACACGAAAAGTATTTGAATACTAGTTGTTCACTAACTTTGAAAATTATTCACTCATCTTTGTGTGTGTGTGTATGTGTGGTATGCATATATTCATGTTTGTGGAGGCTAGCAGTTTCTTCAGTTACTCTCCACTTTTTGAGATAGGTTCTCTCATTGAACCTGGATCTTATCTGTTAGCTAGACCAATAATAAGTCCAGCTAATAAGCTCCAGCAATCTGCATGTCTCTTGCTACTTCCTTGTCTCCCAAGGGTTAGGGTTATGGAAGCCTGCCCCCTGACTTTTTGTGGGAACTGGCAATCGAAATTCAGGCCCTCCTGCTTGTGTGCAGGGACTTTACTGTCTGATTCT